CAAGGTTAGTTGCTAAGGGCTTTACCCAAATAGAAGGTATGGACTTCTTTGAGACCTTTTCTCTTGTGGCTAAATTGACAATTGTTAGATTACTTCTTGCACTTTCATCATCTTTAAATTTGCACTTACACTAATTAGATGTTCTTAATGCATTTATTTATGGTGATTTAGATGAGGAGGTCTACATGACCTTGCCAGAAGGCATCACTCATACTCATCCAAATAAAGTTTGCAAGCTATTAAAATCTTTATATGGCCTTAAATAACCTAGTAGACAATGGTTTGCAAAATTGTCTCATGTATTAATCTCAAATAATTTCACACAATGCCATACATATCAACTCCTTATTCATGCATAAATATGCATATACTTTCACTGCATTACTGATTTATATTAATGATCTAACAATTGTAGTTAACAACATGGAAATCATAACTAACATAAAGCAGACTTTGAACCAACATTTCAAGATAAAAGACCTTGGCTATTTTAAATATTTCTTAGGACTTGAAATGGCCATATTGGGAAAAGGAATTTACCTCTATCAAAGGAAATATGTTCTTGACATTCTTTCAAACTCAGGCCTATTTGGGTGTATGCCTGCTAAAAATCCTAAGGCAAGAGACACGAGACTAACACAATATAAAGTCAAACTTTTAACAAATCCAACATCAAATTGAAGACTATACGGCCAGCTGATTTATGTCCTGAACACTAGGCCTGACATTACCTATATTGTTAAACAATTGAGTTAACAAATGAGTAAGCTAACACACCTTCACTACAATGCAGCTATTCGTGTTTTCTGATTCCTCAAACTTTATCAACTCAAGAGATCTTCTTCTCTTCATCCTCTCCTCTTTAAGTTAAAGTGTTCTATGATTCTAATTGGGCCACATGCCAGACACTCGAAGATCCATTAGTGGATTTTGCATTTACTTCATCTAGTCAAGACCCTATATATATATATATATATATATATATATATATATATATATATATATATATATATATATATATATATATATATATATATATATATATATATATATATATATATATATATAAATTTTTATTTACTATTGGACAAGTTTATCATTTATATTGGTTATAATATGTTAAACTAAAGTATCAAATTAGTGAGTTTATAGTGAAGTTTGGATTGATTTTTGATCAAAAATTTTTATCTAATTCAAAGATAAATTATTTAGCAGTTCGGTTTAATTTTGAATCATTGACTAAAAAAATTTAATCTGACCTGGGCAAATTCAATTTGATACGGTATAATTTTGATTGGTTTTTAGATATTTAAATTATAAATTATATATTTTATTAAGATTAAAAAAATACAAATAAACAATAACTTCAGACGTGGCCTGTGACACTCTTGCTGTCTGTGTAATTAAATGCCACCTTGGCTTTTTTTAATATTTTTTAATACTTTATTTAATTGTATAAAATCTTTGCATTGTTAAAAAATATGCATTAGTTGGGTTTCGAACCCTTGTCCCTCTACTTGTAAGCCATGCACCCAACCACTAGAATATGTGTTTCCGTTTGTATATTACTTACTTTAACATATCCAAATAACAACATTCAATAACCAAATAAACCCATGCACTTCCGCATAATCATAATCAACAACAAAACCATTCAACAGAAGATTGTCTAAGGCTGTTGTTCCTTCAAATATGTAGTTGATAAAGCAGGTAGATAATAAGGCTACCAAACAAGGAAAGAAAGCTGATACATTCTCGCTAGTTCGCAATTCACAAACCCCTTTGCTACAACTGAGAGATGTTGTCTTCTCCACTGCTGCTGATCTGAGACGAACCGCACCAAAGCCGGTGATTACATCATCGAGATGCGACAAGTGAACAGATCCAGGATCACATACTCGACCAAGGTCGTTTCTTAGAAGGTCAACAATCATAAAGTTTTCAGCCCGGTCCTTTTCACTAAAATAGAAATACGAGTCAGTTCATAACATAATCACCAAACTAATTCTCATTCAATTGCTTTGCATCCAAATAGGATTTCAAAGAGCCATGATTCTTACCAAATTACTGAAGTATTAAATACACATGGAAATTTGATGTCACGACTAAAAATGTAATGAGAAAAGCAATTCTATTATGTAAATTGAAGTCATAGAAACACTTGTTAAGATAGTGATAGGTAGACTAAAAATTTTCCAGAAATAAATGTCACATGAGCTGTAATTTCAACTTGAGTTGCTTGTCTTCCTCTTCAGTAGCACCACGAGCTACAATACCCTTAATGGGCTTAGCTTCTAGCATGTCATTCCTATCTAACTGCAAGAACCTCTCAGTAAAAGAACAACAAATACACAGATATTCCTTTGGAAAATTAAGCCACATAGCATAAGGTGCTGGATTCCTTTCTCTCAAATTAAGATAAAATCCAAGAGTATTTAATACCTCAATTAGTTTTCTTATATGAGTTGTGAGGCATAACTCATAGCTCTCTCTGTCTTTAATGTAGTTTAGACACTTCTTAACATCTCTAATGTACTGCTCTCTAGACTGTTCAGCTGCAAAATCAGTCTTATATGAAGAAAAAGTTGAAGGATGAGAATACTGTCTTTCAAAATCCATGCTATAGAGCCAGTAAAGCTTAGAAGCTTCTCCTCGGTATCATCCAACCATTCTATCGTAATTGAACTTTCTTCATGTATAGCCAATAAATAAACATCATCATTTTTATGATCAATGGCTACAAGATTATCAGCAAAGAAAAAACATGCATCTGGAGTTTTAGATTTGTGGCGGTTAGATGTGACACCACATTCAACTTTGAGATCATACCTGCAACATAAAGAGTCAATTATTTAGATTGCTTATTTTCTGAAATGGTTTAATTATGTTGAATAATTTTGTTGTTGATTATGTTTATGCGGAAGTGTCAGGGTTTATTTGGTTATTGAATGTTGTTATTTGGATATGTTAAAATGAGTAATATACAAATTGAAACACATAGTCTAGTGGTTGGATGCATGACTTACACAGTCTAGTGGTTGGATGCATGACTTAAAATGAGTAATATATATATTTTATTTGGATAAGTTTATCTTTTATATTGTTTATAATATGTTAAATTAAAGTATCAAATTAGTGAGTTTGTAGTGCGGTTTAGATTGATTTTTAATAAAAAAATGATCTAATTCAAAGATAAATTATTTAGCAGATTCAATTTTGAATCATTGAGTAACAAAATTTAATATGACCTAGCCAAATTCAATTTGATGCGGTATAATTTTGATTAGTTTTTAAATACTCAAATTATAAATTAATAGGGTTAAATACGTTTTTGATCCTTATAAATATCTCAAATTTCATTTTTAATCTCTATTAAAAAAATGATAAATTTTGGTCTCTAAAATTTTTTTGTTCATCCAATTTTAGTCTCTGCTTATTTCTAAAATTTTAAAAACTCTTTAATTACCCTTAAACTTTTAAATTTTTGAATTATATTTTTCATACATGAGTAGAATACTATAAAATATTATTTTTATCAAATTTTAGATTTTTTTAAAATGAGAAGAATTAAATATGATTTTTTTAAATTTTAAAAGATATTAATAAAAATAATGAAAATCTCAATTTAGAAATCAAACTTTAAATTTCTTTTTTTCCAATAAACTTTTTATAACATTCTAAACATGTCTATAAAATAATCATTCAAAAATATACATTAATTTAACAACAAAGACTAAAACTATGTGCACAATAATGTTGTAGGGACTAAAACATATTATTATTTTAGTAAAGACTAAAAATAAAATTTAACATATTTATAAAGACTAAAAATATATATAACTCTAAATCATATATTTTATTAAGATTAATAATGCAAATAAACAATAAATTTGATATGATATTTAATATATAATATAATAAAAATTAATATTAAAAAATAATATATATATATATATATATATATATATATATATATATATATATATATATATATATATATATATATATATATATATATATATATATATATATATATATATATATATATATATATATATATATATATATATATATATATATATATAAAATCAAGTAAGTAAATATTATTAAAAAATAAATATCATTGAATAACAAACTAACACATTATATCATACTAATATAAAAATAAATAAATATAAAAAAAAATAAAAATATAAAGATGTGGTTTCGTTTAATTTTGAATGGTTTTGAAAAACTAATTTAAAATTCAATTCAAATAGAGTAGCTTACATAATATATTAAAACACATTCAAAATATTTTATATATTTATTTATTTTTAAGATAGATTTGCAATTTTTATTTAAATCATTTTAAATTTGAATTCGAAAACCCCTAATTTTCGTTCTAAAATAAATGCCGTTGAATCAAATTTATAGTTTTTGTTACTTTTTATTTAATAACAAAGTGTTTTTATTTCCATAATTAATTAATTATACTCTACGAGTTTTAATTTAAGAAAGTATTTATTAGAAGCAATAAAGTAGTTTCCTAGTATCTAGTAATATTAGAATTTGAAACCGAAAAAAAAGAAAGATAAATTCGATAAACAATAATAGTCCAAACACACATCTATGTAACTGAACACAAATATTGTCGGTAATTTCTTAACCGACCTATGTATTGTTATGGATTCCTTTCGAAAATATTGTTAGTGTGACGGTCCATCCAGTTACAGAAGATTAACGTAACAAGTATAAATAACAGCATATGCGAGAAAGATATAATAATATGCGAAAGCGAAAATAAACACCGTTACGAGAACGTGCCACGTGTCACTCTTCATCGCATTTTGAAACCATTCATCCTTCGCCACAACACAACCCCACTCTCTCTTCTCTTCCCCCATACCGCATCACAATCATCACCATCATCACCATCATCGTCTTCTTCTTCTCTAAATCTGGATCTGTTTTTATTATTATTATTATTAGTTTATGGTTAATTTCCATGACATGATGTGATGTGTAATAAAAGGTTTCAATGTTTTAGAATTAATAATCCACAAAACTTTATTACGATGGATAGTCCCACCGCCGTTCGATCTCCGGCCACCACGGCTGGTTCGGGTTCCGGCTCGAACGAGGATGGCCGGCGTGTTAAATTTTTGTGTAGCTTTTTAGGTAGTATAATGCCCCGTCCGCAGGACGGGAAGCTGCGTTATGTTGGCGGGGAGACGCGAATTGTGAGTGTCTCGAGAGAGGTTAGTTTTGAGGAGTTGATGGGAAAAATGAGGGAGTTATACGAGGGTGTTGCTGTGTTGAAGTATCAGCAGCCTGATGAGGATCTTGATGCACTTGTTTCTGTTGTGAATGATGATGATGTGGTTAATATGATGGAGGAGTATGATAAGTTGGGGTCTGGGGATGGGTTTACTAGGCTTAGGATTTTTCTGTTTTCTCAATCGGAGCAGGATGGTTCCGCCCATTTTATTGACGGGGATGATTCGGAGAGGAGGTATGTGGATGCGTTGAATAGTTTGAATGATGTTTCTGAGCTTAGACGATTGCAACAAATGGAGTTTCCCATGATTGGGACGGTTGAGGATGTCCATGTGGGTGATCAGTTTGGGAATCAGATGGGTATGGAAAATGGGATTCATAGCCAGAGAAGTGGGGAATTTGCTATGCCGCCGTATAACTTGCATCATATAGGTATTCAGCATCAGCAACCTATGGGACAGAGGTATAGTGAAATTGATGCTCAGTGGAATCCTGGTTATTACTCTCCTAGGCATCATGGTCTTAGTCATCATGACTCTAGATCATCATTGGTTGATTATCCATCTTCTCCGTCTGCAACGAGATACCGTGTGCCCTTTCCTGAGATGCCAGATAAGGGAATTGATAGAGTGTCGGAAGAATATGCTCGGCATCATGTAAGTCATCACCATCCTTTGTATGACAATCAGCCGCAGTATCCTGAGAATGTTGTGTGGCTGCAAACTGGAGCTGCACATGGCCATGATGGTAATAATATATGTGAGCACTGTCGAATGAATTTTCAGAGAGCTCAACCGCATTTGGAGCATCCTAATGTGCTTCCACCGGTTTCCGTTCCGTGTCCAGAATGCCACTCAAGCAGGGAAGCTATCAATGCCAATGTTGATGCCAAGTTACAGCCTTCTATGTATCCCAATGATGCTCAGAATCATGAGAGGGCTTGTGGTTTGCAGCATCAGAGTTCTGGAAGAGTGTCTGATCATTATGTTGGTGATGTTCCGCTCATTAATTTCCCTCCTGGACATGGTAGTTTGATTGATGGGCATGCTGTTCCTTCCGGTCATGTTCACCAACAGGTTGGACCTGAATTGGGGGTTGAACTGTTCCCTGACCAAACCATGGCTGCTATGCCACATCTAAAAATTCCTCCGTTGGAAGAATCCAGTGCGCAGTATGGAAACGCACCTTCTCCTTATGGAGTAGATAATAATTACGCCATGCCTCGTGGACATGCACCTGGTTATACTCTTTGGACAAATGGTCCGACTCCAGTTCATATTGGACCGCCATACGAGGCAACGACTCTACATCAGCCTGTTGATGGTGTGACAAATGCTGGACTATTCAGAGGAGAGGGAAGACCAGGTTTTTTCATTGGACCGGATAGTCAAAGTCTTTGGGTTGATTCATCACAGAAATTTTCTGGTCATGATGGGTCAGCCATCCCAGAATACCCTTATGCAAATGCTACAAAGTTAAATCCAATTCCCACCGGTCAGGAAATTCAACACCCGATTATTGTTGATCCCACCATTCATCCCCCCAATAACGTAAATGCTGGTACTTGCTTGGAACCTGTGCAGCTGCAAAAATCTTCTCTTAATATCGTCCACAATAACGAGGTTTTAAAAAATGATGCTCATTTGACTGAAGTGTTGAATTTGCAATCTATAAGTTTGCTTGGAGAAGGAAAAGAAGCCAAAAATGAAGACAAGCTTGAAAACTTTAATGTGCAAAGGATATCTTCTCTAGATCAAAATCAAATTGTTGAAGATGTATCCAACGCTGCTGCTTCTGCCGTTGAGTTTAATAATTCATCTCTGAAACCTTCATCCGAGTTTGGACTTGTCGAGAAACTGGTTGATACAGTCGGTTCTTCTCCCGGAGATTCTCAGCATTTAGTTGATCAATTCAATATCTTGCCTGAGTTGATTGCTTCTGTTAAAAAGGCTGCGTTGGAATATCATGATGAGGTGAAACCTACAGGTGAAGAGCACGCGGATTGTCAGATGAACAATTTGAATACCAAAGAAGAAGCTGAAAAAGAAGTTGAGCCAGTGGTGAGGAATTAAAATGATTTTGTTTTCTTATTTCAAAAGTAAAATGCAATTTTTATTCTTTTTGGAGAAGAGTGTTGTGTCAAATTGGCTTATATGTTATTTATGTTTATTTGTCATGCAGAATGCTCATGGTGATTTAGAATTAGACACTGAAAATGACCACGTAGATACTTCTAAAATCGAGCCTACAAAAGCCGAGGCAGAAGCAATTGCTAGGGGATTGCAGGTTTTCATCCCATCTTGCTTAATACATTATGTTCATATCACTTTGAGGTCTTTTATGGTCTTTATTTTCCTACATGACTTTGGTTTGATGGTTGGCTGATAATTTCTTTCAGACTATTAGAAACGATGATTTAGAGGAGATCCGTGAGCTAGGCTCTGGAACTTACGGAGCTGTTTATCATGGGAAATGGAAAGGTTCTGATGTCGCCATTAAGAGAATAAAAGCCAGTTGTTTTGCAGGAAGACCATCTGAAAGAGCAAGATTGGTAATATTTGTATCTGATAGTTTTTTCTATTGTTTAAGAGAATAAAAATGATTACTAGTTTTGTCTATATTGAAACATTCATTGGATCCCGAACACTGTAGTGATTTCATTTTGGTTGCTGTCGCAGATTGCAGATTTCTGGAAGGAGGCATTGATGCTTAGTTCATTGCATCATCCTAATGTTGTCTCCTTCTATGGTATTGTTCGCGATGGACCTGATGGGTCTTTGGCAACAGTAACAGAGTTCATGGTTAATGGATCTTTGAAACAGTTCTTGCATAAGAAGGACAGGTAATGCAACACATAGTGACTTTACATTTCCTCAATACTTTAAAATATTTTCAAGCCCTTTCTGGACTGGTGATTTATTATTTATGTTGTTTTTTGAGGAATTTAACAGAACGATAGATCGTCGGAAGAGGCTCATTATAGCTATGGATGCCGCATTTGGGATGGAGTATTTGCATGGAAAGAACATTGTGCATTTTGATTTGAAATGTGAGAATCTATTGGTCAATATGAGAGATCCACAAAGGCCTGTCTGCAAGGTACTCTTAAGTATTACAGTAAGATATTTCATTATATAATTCAACAGTCATTGAACTCATATCAATGACACAATGCGTGTTTATTTAGAGTTTAAGACAATGTCTGTGTGTTTATTCAGATTGGTGATTTGGGTCTATCGAAGGTTAAACAACACACACTAGTGTCTGGAGGGGTACGAGGAACTTTGCCATGGATGGCACCCGAGCTTCTTAGTGGGAAAAGCAATATGGTGTCAGAGAAGGTATTCTTGGCTTAGCTGTTTGAATTTGCGTCACTAATACCCCTTTCATTTTTTCTGATGATCACCTTACATCTATTACCTGCTTGTGCTGTAGATTGATGTTTACTCATTCGGGATAGTCATGTGGGAGTTACTCACCGGCGATGAACCTTATGCTGATATGCATTGTGCTTCAATAATTGGTGAGATCCAAGTAACAAACTAAATGCACAGAGCAGTCTGTTTTGTTGCGTGTTGAGTTATTTTCCTTTTTAAACCTCAAAGTGATTTTATCGTATATTCTTATTAAAGACGTGCATGTAAGAGGATTGGTATTATTTTCTATAGTTCAAGAGTTATGAAACATTGACACAGACACGATACTAACACGTCGTGTCACTGATAATAATTTAAGAAAGTGAAATATTATGTATCAGACACCAAACACACTTTCAATCTAAAGTGGTAGGGCTACAAAGATCAGAAGAACATAATATTTTTACTATTCTCTTTGTTTTTGTAGGAGGAATTGTGAACAACTCTTTACGTCCTCAAATCCCGTCATGGTGTGATCCTGAATGGAAGTCTCTAATGGAAAGTTCCTGGGCTTCTGATCCTATAGAAAGACCATCATTTTCAGAAATTTCCAAGAAGCTGAGGACTATGGCTGCTTCAGTGAATGTGAAATAGTCAATTTATCTCGAAACACTCAAGCGCCCTTCTTACATTATACGTAGCCTAGAATTGGTAATCGAAGGGAAATAAGGCAAAGCGGGGTTCTTCCCGTTCAAGGCGCCAACAAGCTTAGCTTTAAAAGGGAAAAAAAATATATTTAAAGGAGTATTCAACCTTATACAAGCTTGTATTGTACTATCATACCCTTCCTTGGTTTAGTCTAAGCAGTCTTTTATATTCTTGCCTTTAATGGTATTTACCTTAGCGCAGTTAAATGCACGATAGCGTGGATTTTCTCCAGCGGCATGGTGGGAATATCAGCCTTTCACACAGTGAGTCATTTAATTTACATGTTGTTTCAAATTTACAAGCTTTACAATTTTTTTTCTTTTAGTGATGAAAGATTACTCTGTTTTGCATGCGTGCAGTTTTATACGTGATAATCAACTGAAGAGAAACCATGCTATCTGGAGGGATGTATATAGTTAACCAACATGTCTCATGTGCTTCATATGGAGAGGATAGTGATGAATTATGCTTTCCATTTGCAGATGGAACATATTCATTTTGTCATCAACATTTTATTGAATTGCTTCAGTATATTTATATGATATATATTTTTCAATCATATGAATCTGCATACTCAATGATGTGTTCTGTCTCTTGAAGTTGTATAAAATAATGTTTTGTTTTTTTATATAAAAACTTGCTTGATTGATTATGCTATATTTAATTTGAGGGTTTTCCATCAAGAACTATTGAGTTTGAGTTTCCTAACAAGTGTCTTTCTTTTCGTCTTTTTTTTTCTTCGTAAAAACATCTTGTCTATGAGTATACATAGGTTTGGTAACACGATCAACCTAACCTGAAATGAATTTTGGTAAAAACAAGTTAGTTAAACAATAGACAATTTTATGTATTTCATGTTAAACGGGGTCGTTTATGTTGGAAATTTACTAAAATCTATGATGAATTTCTATCAATTTTGATGAACAAGATTGTTATTACCACACAATAACAATAAAAAATATGAATGAAAGAAAGAAAAAAGACAATGATTTTTCTTTGATTTGACACGTTTTTTTCTTGTTGATTTCCTCTATCATTCGAATTGTTGTAGCCACCTTTATTTTTCGGAGCCAATGATCTCAAGATCTTCCAAACAACTGCTCATAAAAATAAGTCACTTAACCAATGAGACTAAAGTTAGTTAAACAATAGACAATTTTATGTATTTCATGTTAAACGAGGTCATTTATGTTGAAAATTTACTAAAATCTATGATGAATTTCTATCAATTTTGATGAACAAGATTGTTATTACCACACAATGACAATGAAAAATATAAAAGAAAGAAAGAAAAAAGACAATGATTTTTCTTTGATTCAACACGTTTTTTCTTGCTGATTTCCTTTACCAATCGAATTGTTGTAGCCACCTCTATTTTTCGGAGTCAATGATCTCAAGATCTTCGAAACAACTGCTCTTGTTGTTAACGTATCTCCACAAGTCTTGTTTTGATTCACTAGTTTCGTAACCCTAGTGAAGAAATCAGATATGTTTTCGCTATCTTCCTTCATATGTTCTTTTGTGAGTTTGTAACCTCACCTCTTTCATCTTTTCTGCACCTCCAAAAGATTTTTGAAGAATCTCCCAGACTTTTTTTTTGCAGATCATCACTAACCTTTTCGAAATTGTCCGTTTGCATCAATTCTCATAGTTATTACTTTAAGAATTGAGAAACTTGCTGGAAAATTTCTGTTAACGTAATTCATCGCCATCGTGAATTTCTTCTTCCTTGATCGTTCTTTCCTTGAATCACTTAATCAGAGTTCTTACCAGATGTTGAAAATCCACCAAAATCTATGATGAATTTCTATCAATCTTGATGCTCATGCAGAATTTCTCTCTGCCCACAAACTGTGAAATTTTTTTATTATTCACTTGCAATTGTAAATTCTGTGAACGAATGAGTTGATTACAAAAATAGGAGTTACTCCATTTATTTATAGATTTATGTTAGCTTGTTTCCTAAGCCAAAACACAAAACTATGAAAGTCCAAAATACCTATTTTAGATCTAAATCAAATCTATCTATTTTAGATCTAAATCTAAAACTAAATCAAAATTGTGTGTAACAAACTGTTTCTACACTTCTAAATCAAATTAAATCTTTTCGACACTCCCTTATCTGTCAAGCAAACTGCTTCGACACAACAAATTATTTTCAACAATTTAATCGTGAATCTTACTCAATATTCCATAATATTGAGGGAAAGTTTTAACATAATTTAAATCCACAAAAATTACATATAATTTATAATTTTTGTCTATGATTTTTCTCTTAAATAATGCATCAACTTTTTTTTAGGTTTAACTATTATATCACTCTTAAAAAAAAGTAATTCGCATTTACTAATAATATTAAACAATAAAACATAATTTGTATAAAATATTAAAAAAAACACTATAATCAATATTTTTTCTTCAGAGTTTATGTAAATATTAATAAAATGACACTATAATCAATATTTTTTTCTTCATAATTTACATATACTAATTAAAAATGTAATCAATATTTATTAAAAAAAAATCAATTACACTTTCAACTATAGTCAATTAATGGAAAGAACTCTAATTTGAACAAACAAAAATAAGCTATTTTTTATCCGTGGAGAACTCCCAAATTTTCATGAAACTTATAATTTTTATGAAAGAAATTGAAATCAAACTATAATTACATAGCATGTTATAGAAGTGTTTCTTTAAAATATTTTCGACATGTATATTCGAATTAAATGTGGACAAAGTAGAGTGGTTCATTCACAAAATGCTCTGAGGTGTGTATTATAAGTTTATTGCATATATAAAATATGAAAGAGCAAATTCAAATTTTTAGTGTATCCTTCTCTTCTCTATCTCCTATAGGTTATCAAGCAAAGACTCAAATATGATATTTTTTTGTCAAAACAAAATAGATAAATCGCATCCAACCTAAAATTAATGACTTTTATCTAATCTGAACCAAACCTCAATTAAAGAGTTTATATGAGATTTAATTCTTGATTTGGTTTATGAATTAGGATAAAATTGACATAAATCGATCCATGTATAACTATGATAAATTACGATAGAAATAGGACATAATTGAACATTTATATTTGTTATTTTATTTGATTAATGTTTTATGAATTATAATGATAATTATATTTTGACTTTATATGTTCATTTCTGGTTGATGTTGATCTCTGACATCAAAATTCTATTACAAAAATATCTATATGACTAACAGTATTAATGTGACCGACATTTTTTTTTAAAAATTATTTTTATTTACAGAAATTCCACCTAACTAATTTTTGTTGTTGTAATTTTGCTATCCACTAGGCCATACTTTCTATTCATACATTACATTGCAATAATATGTATATTATATAAATGCTTCAATATTTAATAAGTAGTTGAAATATTTTAAAGATTAATGCTTTAATATTTAATAAATAGTTAAAATATTTGAAAGATTAATAAATATTAAAATTTATTTATTTAATACTTTAACTATTTATTTAATAATAGTATTAAATAAATATGAAATAGTTAAAATAATATGAAATAATTATTTAATATCAATATTTCAATTTTATTTAAAACTAATAGTTGAAATAATATGGAATACTGATAATAAATAGTTGAAATATTTGAACTATTAAATAGTTGAAATAACTGAAATATTAAATGATTATTTCATATTAATATTTTACTTATTTATTATTTCAAAAATTAAAATCCATCATTAAATAGTTGAAATATTTAATAAATTAATTGTTTAATAAATTTAATAATTGAAATATTAAATATTTGAAATATTAATAATTAATATTAATAATTGAAATATTAATAGTTGAAATATTAATAGTAGAAAAATTAAATAGCGGAAATATTATTAAATAACTATTTAATATATATTAGTTGAAATATTTAATAATATATTAAATAATAATAATATTATTTCATAATATTAATAAAAGTAAAATTACAATGTAATATGAAATAACTATTAAATAGTATAAAATAATATGAAATAAAAATTAATTTATTGTATAATATTTAAATATTTAGTTAATTAAATATTTCAATTATTTAATATTTCAATTTACTATATAGTTTACTTATGGTTGAAACATTAAATAATTGAGATATTTAATAAATAAAAATATTTGAATATTATATAATAAATTAAATTAAATTTTATATTATTTCATATTATTTAGTAATTATTTCATGTTATATTAATATTAAATATTCATATTTATTAATAAATATTTTAACATTTAAAAATATATATTTTTGAATCAAAGAAGATACTTTATTAAAGATTCAAAAAATACATTGAAATACACTGAAATGTCACACCAGTCTATATATTTCCTAATTCTAAGTTTGATCTAACATCTGTGAATAACAACATTCATAATTTTCTCAACAATGGTTGCTTGTTCAATTTCTCCCCAAAGCTAATGTTGTTCCTAAACGGCTAATACTCGTCAATAGTCTCAGTGAAAGTATATTGCACAATCACTTTTTCCAATCTTTGTTATTATAAATCTGAATAATCTAAGTAATCTCTTCCAACCAAGTATCATGCACCTTATCAATCTTGATCCACTGCAAAATTTGCTTCCAAATAAGTCACTCATCAAGCCAAATCTAACTAATCTCTTTTGTGACAAGACCAATATGATCAGCCATCCATAATATATGTATGGATCTAAGCCTAGCAATATTTCCAAAGAAAATGACTCTCCTCAAAACATTGTTGTTACCATTCATTAAGTCATCATAAATGCTCCTAGCATGTAACTTGTTACTAATCAGCACAATATTAACATAATTTGTTTATTACATTTCATTTATTTTATTTATTTAGTAATTAGTTTAAATATTTTAACTATTTAATATCTTAATTATAAATTTCAATTATATAGTTTATTAAATAATAATTAAAATATTTCAAC